CCTAATTTTCAGCGGTTTGGCGCACTTAAAACTGGAGACTCCTTGATCAGAGACTCTCTCGCCCTTCTGAGGCTGGATCGTAGGTGTGGATTTATATGCCGTATCTTCCCTGGGTGTTAGTGATCTTGTAATTCATCCTAGTCTAGCCACCCTCTCCATCTGATTGCTATAATCACCGTCATAAAGTTCTCACTGACTTTTCGCTTTCAGAATGGATTTGCCGTACCATTATTCTGTTTTGAACATTGGGCCAGAAATTTATCCCATACTATACAGACTGTAAAAAGTCTAGTAATTTGTCTGTTTGATATAAATAAAAGTGCTATATATAACTTAGTGTCTTGAGAGGGCGGTAGAACTCATCAAGTAGCCAGAAACATCCTTTAAGGTCAGCGAAAATGTCCGGCAAGCACGAGTTCTACCCAGGAGAGAAGGGATGATTGTGAACAGCTACGAGTATTTCAAAAGCCAGAAGGAACAAGGCCTCTTCAAAGGCATCAGAACACGCCAACTGGTCTCTGATTGCCTTGGTTTTGCTCCCAACACCGTTGACTCCGTAGTTAATGAGAAAAAGAATAACCCAGACACTGATTTTGAGGTATATCAATTATAACTGATATTGTAACATCTCCTTTTTAAACTAATATTTGTACAAAGCCCAGTGAAAACGACAGAGGTCGAAAGAGAGATTATGACCTGACGGATATCGAGCCGATCGAGCCTTTTTGGGGCTTGTTGAAGAATAAGATTGCGGCAGATCCACCGAAAAGTGGAGCCGACGCAGTGCAGAAGGTACTGTGTGGTCTAGCCAAAATTACACCAGCTGACTGGCTCACTCGATTTCGACACGTGCAGAAGATCGAGGACCAGTTCGTCAATCTTCAGAAGGAATTAGAACAGTAGATGATAAAAACAAAACAAAATCCATGTACCTTTATAATGTTTTTCACAATCCTGCTGGCAGAATTAAGTGTTAAATCGACATGGGCAATCTGCGACCGGGCGATGTGTCATCTTCTTTTTTGACATATGATTTTGATTCTAGACCAATCATATCTGTGTATTTGGCGCGCCTTTCCCCCGAAAATGACAGTGTTCTGAAAAGGCATTTTTAAACGACTGTAGCTCCAAAACGGCTGGGATTTGGCTAAAAATTACCACAAAATCGAAATCTAAACGCATGATTGCACCCTATATCTAAATGTCGATATAGGTTTTCCTAAATGTAGACCTCTTATGCCTCTCTAGATTCTGGCCCAATGTTCAATGTCGCCTACATTACCGGGTAGAGCCTAAAATGTCCTGTCTCAATTGAAAACTATAAAAACGGACTGGACTGTCGGAATCAGCACATAATTAACATTAAATTACCAAATTTTAACTGTCCATGAAAGTTTTACCAAGACTTGGCCCATTTCTGTGAAAGAGAAAACCTGGAGATGACAATAAGCGTTGTTTGTCCTAGGTCACTTCTATGCTGAATAAAAATAACTGTGACCGTTTCTAATCAACAATCTTTAATGAATGCTTAGTCACGCTCACCACGGACTACTTAGTATTGTGACCGTTTCTAATCAACAATCTTTAATGAATGCTTTGTCACGGTCATCACGGACTACCGCTATACCTAATGTTTATGAGCAAACTTCGTTTATAAAGGAATGTCACAGTTCTTCTTAACGAACATAGAAGTGACCTAGGACAAACCACGCTTATTGTCATCTCCAGGTTTTCTCTTTCAGCCAAGTCTTGGTAAAACTTTCATGGACAGTTAAAATATGGTGATTTAATGCTAATTATGTGC